TTTTTTTTTTTTTTTTTGTCTTGGAAAAAGACAACGCATAAGATGAATTTTTGTACAGAAATTTCAAAACTTTTTTGTATTTAGATTCTCAATTGTTTCCTGTCTTCTTCTTTTTCCCACCTCACCCTTCTTTATTTCCTCCGTCGTACCAATACCTTTCGGTGTTGAAAAAAAAAAAAAAGCTTATATTTGAATTATTTGTTTATTTTGATAAGCAAATAACAGTGAACAATTGACAAATATAAATTGCAAAACTGTGGTAAAGATACAAAAATAATCATTTTTATTTATACAATTATAAACAATAATGTTGATGCATCAACGACTACATACAACTCAAAATTACAGACATATGTGCTTTGATACTTTTGATTTACTGATTACAACAAATTGCAATAAACAAAATTACATCAATTAATGATAAGATAAAAGAAAGAGTGAAAAACATAAATTAAAGACTGAAAATCGTTTAAAAAAAGAGTGAAAAAAAAAACAATAAACGCGAATTGGCCAATTGATCTTTAATTAATATCTGACTAATGCCCAAACAACGACAGTAAAGTACATACAAATTGTAGATATATTTATCAAATCAAAAAAAAAAAAAATACCTGCCAACATTTTAACTGTTCAAAAAGCTTAGCAGTAAAACAATAAATTTAATCTGTCAATGTATAAATCAAAATTCTTGGTTCTCCCTGAATTTTAATTGCATTTATAAGCAAAATTAATCTAAGTTTCACTTTGAAAGAACAGAGAAAAAACGAGTATATATTCATCAATTGTAGAGAGCTTTACGATATAAAGGTAAAACCGAGATGAATAGCGGCAGTAGCGGAAGCGGCGGTACAGGCGGTACAGGTAAAGTTCGTACCGAGCAACACGAATTGGTCAACTTAGCTTCGATGTATCTGCCGTCACATTCGACGATGAATGCCGATGCAGAGGTAATTGCCACATAAATAACCTCTGAATACATAGATTTTTATTATTACAATTTTTCTTTTATATCAATTTTTTAATGGTTTAGCATTTTTTTTACTAAGATAAATTTCTTTTTCCTCTTACAGGAAAGTACGGTATATTTAAGACATCGTAAAACCTTTGAACTTGTACGATGGTGTAACTTTTTGTCGACCAGAGGCAAAGCTGAACGAATTGATATTGTTGCACGGTTAGTAATGAAAGAATTGTTCAAAAAAATTTTTTCTTCAAAATATTTTGTTCTTTCTTTTTTTTTTGCTTCTCTCTTAACATTTTACTGTTACAGTGGCCAACTTTGAGCATTGTGCACAAAAATCACTTTTTTTTTCGGTTGTTAATTATTTTTTCATTTCTTTGTTTCTCGCAATTCTACAACACCTAAACTGGTGCTAAGAATAGGAGTTTAAAAAAAATAGGATAAAATTAAAAGTGAAACGTAAAATTTGTTCGTTAATTGTAACAGTGATCATAGAGAGTGTTCAGTTTCGATGCTTTTTTTTTGGTTTTTATTTAACAGCATCTGGTAACACTAATTACAACAAATTAAAAAGACTGTTTAGAAAAAACTATTTTAAATTTGTGAACAATAATCGTAGATAAGGTGAGCAATTTTTCATATCCGTTTATTAATTTACGGTTTTTTAAAGTCATATTTTTTAAATTTTTAGAGTTGTAATCCCGATTGCCTTTCTAATTTTCAACTGTACCTACTGGTTTATATATATGTACTATTTGGTTCGCAAATAAATGACTAATAAACTACAATTTATCGATGGATTGGTACATCAGTTGTTATTCAAAAGCAGGGGAAAAAAAAGCAAGGCTTTTTTCTCATTTCCGGTTTAATTTTTGTACCAAAATTATTGTGCTGTTGTTCAGATGGTTATTAAATGAAACAGAAGAACAAAGTCAAAGAAAAATTCTTATTTCTTGTCCCCATTCAGTCTGACTTTTTTTTTTTTATACTTTACTTTGTTTATTTTTATTTTTTGCTTGTTTGTCTGTTTGTTACTTTTTATTATGATAAAAAAAAAGCGAACTTTTTGTTCCTTAACCGTATTAGGATAACCGATTATTATTTCAGCTGTACTGTTCACAGTTAATTTGTGGCTTAACAGCAACGATTGCAATGAGGCTGATGATCACCATACTAATTATAATGTTGATGACAATGATAATAAAGCAATTTAGTTGCATAGTTAAATTGTTTACGAACAAAAAGAAACTGGAGAAATGCAAAGCAAAGAAGGCAAAAATATTTGTTACAAATGAGGAAAGAAGGAAGAAATTGTAAAGAAATTTTTATGCATGATATTTTTACTTGTTTTTTCCTTTTTTTGATTTTCCTTATTTTTTTCTGCCACTTTTTCAAAGCTTTTTATGTAATTTTTTTGCCGCATTAAAAACTGCAAAAAAAAAAAAAACCCATCAAAACAAAGAATTATGTAAAAGTTGTGCAACGAACAGAATGCTAATGAGCCGTTTGCTGTGTCACCACCACTGATGTGTTCAGAACGGTCAGTTGGCTTCAGATAACTGTCGGTAAATTATCAGCGGTAAAGATCTAAGTATTTCATAAAAATGTAAAATACGTCAACGGTATCAAAGTGTTTAATCAATAACCCAAATCCAGTGAATTT